CAAACCATGCTCTTTTCCGCAACACAAACTACCAAAGTCGAAGATCTCGCTCGAATTTCCCTTCGTCCAGGACCTCTTTACATCAATGTCGATAATAAGAAGGAACACAGTACAGTTGAAGGTCTCGAACAAGGTTACGTCGTATGCGATTCCGATAAACGATTCCTCTTACTCTTCTCTTTCCTTAAGCGCAACCTGAAGAAGAAGATCATTGTCTTTTTCTCCAGTTGCGCTTGTGTCAAATATCATGCCGAACTTCTCAATTATATCGATTTGCCAGTTCTTGACTTGCATGGCAAACAGAAGCAACAAAAACGTACAAATACCTTTTTTGAATTCTGTAATGCTAAACAAGGCACACTTATCTGCACAGATGTTGCAGCTAGAGGTCTTGATGTAAGTTCTCTCATCCAATTCATTTTCAATCGACGAAGCTAATATTCTTTCAACAGATTCCTGATGTGGACTGGGTAATTCAATTCGATCCTCCCGATGACCCAACAGATTATATTCACCGTGTCGGTCGAACTGCTAGAGGTAGCGACGGAAAGGGACGTTCCCTTCTCTTCCTTCAACCATCTGAAGTCGGTTTCCTTACTCATCTCAAGACTGCCCGTATTCCCGTTGTCGAATTCGAATTCCCAGTATCAAAAATTGTCAATATCCAGAGTCAACTCTCAAAATTAATCGCACAAAACTACTATTTAAATAAGAGCGCCAAGGAAGGTTACAAGAGTTATCTTCAAGCCTACGCAAGTCACTCCCTCCGCAGTGTCTTTGATGTTGGAAAGTTGGATTTGATCAAGGTCGCTAAGAGTTTTGGATTCGATGCCCCTCCCAGAGTCGACATCAACATCTCGGCTGGAATGAAGGATACCGCGCAGAAGAAGAGACCTTATGGAAGTCAACCCAAACAAGGAGGTACATATAAGAAGAGGAAGTTTTAGGCGGTGCGATATGGAGAAGCTGGATGCATTATTTTATTGTAGGCAAGGTGTTACTTGGGTGGGAAAATTATGTGGGCTTTACTTTTTTTGGGCTTTAAGGAGGGGTTTTATATCGAATAATTCTTGATATTGATACAATTTTTTGTTTACGCTGGTGATTTGGATCTTCTTGGTGTCTGATTTGGTTTGTGAATTGTGAATTGTGAGTTGTGAAAGCTGTGAATTGAGGAGAGAGAGAGGAGGGAGGGAGAGACATGTGTAGAGAGAAAGAGCGGGGTTGGGGGGGGGGGGAAGGGAGAGAGATGTGTAGAGATATAATTATAATCTATTTGTTTATACCCATCTACCTATTTACCTAGGTACATACTTATATCTCGTAGTCAGCAGATCGAATATAATACTCAGGCTCTATCGTACGTAGGAGAAAAAACAGATCGTAATCACTTATTAAAATCTTTATGAAAATCTTTTGATTAGGTAGGTAGGTACCTAATTAAATCATAAATTGATTGTAAATATAATTATTAAATTTGGGAAATAGGATTTAATTCTTGTGTTTTGATTATATTGATAATTATTCAAGAAATATGGTTTGTTTCAAGAAAAGAATTGCATTAGTAGACGAAAGTGAGGTTGTAGGGTCATAGAGTAATCCTTCGCATAGATATACTACAGAAAAGTCATTATAATATAGTGTCGCTAGCAAAGAAAAGAAGGGGGAGGTTCTATATAACACTTTACAAAATATAATAAAGGTTAAATAAAAACTGACTGTCTTTTCTAAACTATATAAAAAAGAATTATAAATGTTAGCTACAAGAAAGGGCTACGTAACTAGTACAAAGTTTCGCTCACAATAGTCGGAAAAGTGTTTCGGTTGTCGTACTGGTGTACCTAGGTTATACATATAGCCAATCCCGTATTTTTCCGTGGTAAGGTTGAGATAGCCGAGTTGTGGGGGGGTTTGTTGTAGAGAGCTTTGTGACTCCTTTATTTGTTGGTGTAACTTTGATTGAATTGATTGATTGGAAAAACATAATTAAGATTCCTTACCTATTTAATTACCTACATATCTATCTACCTACCTACTAGTAATAGCTGGCGACTTTTATATTATCATTCATTTACTCTTCTGGTTTAGTAACCCTAAGGATGGCAAGTATTACAAGAGGAAAGTTGTCGATGTCGATGTCGATGTCGATGAAATCGTTAGGTCGATTAAGAGGGCTGGGGGGGTATGCATGGGTGGGAGGGAATGCGAGATGTTTTTCGGTGGGCTCGAGGAGGGATACGGATGGGGTTTACAGGGAGTTGACGGCGATGAGGACGAGGGTGCCGTTTATTGAGGCGTGGAGGAGGGAGGAGGAGAAGAGGGCGGGGAGGGAGGGAGAGGGGGAGATGGAGAAGGGGGGTGAGATACAGAAGGTGGTAAAGGGAGGAGGGGGGGAGGGATTGGAAACGAAGAGGATGAGAGATAGTTTTCATAGGGTGGTGAGTGTCTTTTTTTTGTTGTTGTTGTCGTGTATGTTTTTGGGGGAATTTAGGGGGTGGAGAGTGGGGGGTTTGGTGGTTTGGTGGTGCGGAGACGGGATTGAGTTTGGAAAAAGAAGGAGAAGAAGAGAGGAGAGAAGAGGAGAGAAGAGGAGAGAAGAAGGTGTGGGGTCATGTGATGTGTGATATCTGATATCAAAGAAGGAGATTGATAATTTCGGGTTCTTGGGGATCTTATTTTCTTCACAACAAGAAATCATGGAGTAGGGGGAGATAAGTAGAGGGCGAGGTGCTAACGATATGTGTATTTTTATGTAGATTTTACCTTTGGCAAGCGATCCTTGGCTTTTGGATAATTATATCACGGCGAGTGGACATATTAGATTGGGTGCTATCTTTATGGTGAGTTTTTTTCTTTTTTTTTTTTTTTGTTTTCTGTTTGCTGTGATGGGAGGGAAGATGGAGAGGAGTTGGAAAGAGTCTTATAAGAAGTTTGTGAGAACTCATGAAGAGCGAGGAGATGAGATCCGTGAAAGGAAGGGAGAATAAACTATATGCTAACACCCACACCAGGATCTCGATGCCCTCGCCGGAGTGATCTCCTACAAACATACTGGCGATCGCGTCATGACCGTCACCGCTGCTGTCGATCGTATCACGCTCTCTCGACCCCTTCTCGAAATCTGCGATCTCGAATTATCCGGTCAAGTGACCTTTGCCACCGGACGCTCCAGCATGGAAGTCTCGCTACAAGTGTGCAAAGTTCCGTCTGCGGGACAGGAAAATCAACCGAGGAGGAAAGAAGATGTTTTCATGGAATGTGCGTTCACGATGGTGTCGCTCGATCCGGTTACGAAGAAAGCGGTGAGGATTGCGGGGGTGCGGCCGGAGGGGGAAGTGGAGGAAGCTTGGTTTGAGAGGGGGAGGAAGAGTTATGATAAGAAGAAGAGAGAAATGGGAAGGGGATTGAGGAGTATGGAGCCGGATGATGAGGAGAGTGATTTGATTCATAGGTTGTGGTTGAAGACGTTAGATTATCATGGTATGTTGGATTTGTGTCTTCTTTCTTTTCTTTCCTTTTGCTTTTGGTGTTGAAGGATTCTGTTTGGATCTTGGGTAGGTGGGGTGAGGAACGAAGATGGAAGATTCGTGGTTGCATGATATTTCATTTCGATGGCTTGTTATGAATGAGCAAGGAAGGAAAATTCCTTTGATCTTGTTATACTTCGATTGGATTACCCCAGCCATTTTCCACCAACCCCTTCACCTTCTACCTCCTCTACTCCGTCACTCACACCAAACTAAACTAACCACCACTAACCGCCTCTAGACCCCAACACCCCCTCCCTCCTCCCCAAAACCTGCACCCGCATGGCCAACTCCACCATCCAATCCGTGCAAATTATGCAGCCTCAATACCGCAACCGCCACAATTTCATGATCTTCGGCGGTTTCCTTCTCAAATCCACCTTTGAACTTGCTTTTACCTGTGCATCGGCTATATCGCATTCGCGACCTATTTTCCTAGGTCTGGATCCAAGTACATTTGAGAATCCCGTGCCAGTAGGTAGTGTGCTGTATGTGAGCGCTACGCTTGCATATGGGGATCGGCCGCTGGTTAGTGGGGAGGGGGATGCAGATACGGAGACGGATATGGACATAGAGAGTAATTATGGAGAGGGAGGGAAAGTCAAAGGAAAGAAAACGAGGGTGCAGATTAGAGTCGACACGAAGGTTAAAAATGTTGAACATGGCGAGACGAAACCGACGGGACAGTTTAATTATACGTTTGAGGTGGAGGGGGAGGTGCAGGTTTTGCCGGAGAGTTATAGGGAGTTTATGGTTTATTTAGATGCGAGAAGGAGGAGTAGGGGGAGGGTTGGGGAGGGAGAAGGGGAGGGGGTACAAGGTGGGAATGCTAATGGGGGACTGGGAAAAGATGTGCTTGGGGCGGGCGGAGATGGGGGTTTGAAAGTTCTGTAAGGGGTGAGAAGGGGAAGGTGTAGTTGGTGATGGTGATGATTATTTGTAGGTAGGAAGTGAATTTTTTATTTTTTATTTTAGACATATAAAGATGTGTAAATGTAAATTTCGATTCAAAAGACAATTTATAGTACTAATCGATAGATACCTTTAAAGGAATACAGAGAGTCGATTACTTATTATTTACTACACGGGGATTTCCGTGAAATTATAATAGTACTCTTTGTAAAATCTCAGAGAGGAATATAGAAAGAGAGATTATCTTTTAGTTTCTTCTAATTTAATCCAATAAAAAGTTTATTAGTTTACTTTATAGGAATAATGATTTATAGAAATGAATAGTTTCTTTAACATATAAAGCTTGATACTTAAGTCAAATAGTAATTCTTTTGTTTAGTTACAACTGTCCTGATTTCAATCTACTACTTGTCGCTCTTAATATGAATCATTGCACGTGACTCCCGAAGGCACGTCGCAACGCTGTCTTGGATGACCCAAATCCAACTGTCAAATCATTAAAGCTGCATGGTGCATTACTCTGCTTCAAATGAAAAACACCAATACCTGTGTGGTGTGGTCCTAGCCTGATTCTGAAGGTTCCATAAAGCCTTTCACATCCAAAGAATATTTGTTGTTCTCGTCCATTTGCAGCCGCCCAGTCACCTGCAGCGATAATCCCTCTGGATGAGAGACTACTGTCTGATGTAACCGGGTATACGCGCTGGCTTCTTCTTTGGTAAGTGGCTTGGGTACCTTTGCCACGTTATCCCATTCGAGCTTGCTGTCTGCCAGGAACTGATTAAGGACCACTTCAGATCGAGTCGATGTACCAGATAATGTTAGTTGTCTGCCATTCATGGTAACCACACCCGTAAGTGTCATCTCAATGCCACGCATATTATACGTGCCCCCGTCGATCTCGAAGAGCTCCTTCCGCCATACGTTGATATCGGGCAGAATATCATCGTGGAGGTAAACAAAGGCAACAGAGATGGTTGCATTTGGTCTGGGAAGGACGGTCTTGATATCTTTGATACTGTTTAGTGCTTCGTATGCTCCACCCCAGCAAGCACCGAGACCGTAGGGACAAGTGGGGGTAAGACCAACAATGACAGGTGGCCCGTCCTGTTCTGAGACGACCTTCTGATTGCGCATCTCGAGGGACACGCCGATGTTTTTCTCCAAAATAGCATTTTGTGTTGATAACTCAGGAGGCAGTTGTGGTTGTACGGGTATCACAACGTCCGGTCTGAGCAGCATGATAGGTGCCACTGCTGGTACGCCTTCTTCGCTCACAAGGAAAAGCATGTAATGACCTGGTGGAGCCAAAAAATGATTCTTTGGTGCTTCTATGGTGACCTCTGTCCCACTGATTGTAAAGTTCAAGAATTGGAATGATTGGTTCATATTGTGTGAATGAGTGACAGATCCAAGTCGTGTCCAGCTCACCTTGCCAATCACATCGTGTTCGCCGACTGTGACTTTGAATTTCTGGCCATAGTCGACAACCTCTGGTGGTTCACTAATGGTCGGTCGTTCGCCTTTGAACAAATAAGGTGGGCTGAATATCTGGGCGGTGGTTAGAGTGTGCTCAGGCTCGTTGGGTCTCTTTTGATTGTCCGGATCGTATTCCCCACCACCAGCTGAAAGAACTGTGCCATCGGGTAGTAGTAGTGCGGTGTGGTGGTAGCAACGATCATCGTCCTCCGGGGCCATCGTAGACCACTTTGTGGTAGCAGGATCCCACAGCTCAGGCTCATGGACAGGCTGACCCGGAGACAAGTCATTAAAGCCTAACCCTTTGGTTCCTCCAGTCACAAGCACACTGCCATCGGGCAACGTGGTAGCAAAGGAATGTCGGCGCCCATGACCGATTTCAGTCGTATATTTCCAGTGTGGTTTTGGCTCGTTCAGATCAATGATCTCTGCAGCGTTGGTGGGAGTAACAGCATCACCACCTCCACCACCAACGTAGAGAATCTTGCCACTATCATACATAGTTGAAGCGGCGTACTCGCGCTGGCCCGCATTGCGGAATGGCGAATCGGTATCGCTCGACCATTCACCATGGCCACCATGAGCATTCAAATCGAGAAAACGAGAGCTTCGCAATGGGCCCGCCATGAATATTCTCCCGTCTGGAACGTGGTAAAGCCGTGGGTAAAGAGCGAAAATATCAACGAGAGGCGTTTGGACTATGCCCCATGTACTTGAATGTGAGTCCCAGATCTGGGGGACCAGGTTGATCACAGGGTTTGTGACATCTTGCGAGCTACCCGACACAACAAGGCCTCTACCATCAGACAAAGTTATAGCAGAGGGATACCAGCGACCTGCAGCCATCATAGGCATTACCGTCCACTGATCTTGGAAGGGATCGTAAACACAAGCTTGGTCTTCCCCGAAGCCATCCAGCACATGTCCACCGAAGATAATCAGGGTACCGTCTGGTTGGAACGTGTGCCCGGAACAGAAGAGATTCACGGAAAGCTCGTCTTCGTTCATCGGGTCATGAGCAGTGCGTTTACTCTCTAGGGTGTCGACATCCAAGATGTAGACGTGGGTTTTGTGCTCATTGAGCGTCCAATAATCCATGCTGTGCACAGCAGAGCGTCGACCCCAGTAAAGTACCTTGCCAGTCGGTAGTAGGTGAAGATGAATAGCGCAATTTCCAAGTTGGAATTTTGGTGCCCATTCTCCGTGGACGGTCTTGTCGCTCATGTTTGCTTCGAAGGGTTGAGGCCTGGGGGTGTGAGAACGATGTATTGGCGGCACTCGAGTAGTGAGTGTGGTAAAATGACTAGGAACTTGACTTGAGGAGCTCGTAAGAATCTACGGCGTAAAGAAGAGGAGATGGTCTGTATGATAAATGAACCTTTATGTCCATTTTCATGACTTCTTCGCTTACATTTCGGCTCTCCTCTTTCAGCTTCTAAAACTCTCCTTCCGCGGTAGAGAACGGCTCGTATCGAGCGCGAGAAGCGGATTGGATCAAGTGTGAAGTGAAGATTGGCTTGGATCGAGTGACCAAATTGCTTTTGGGACACAGCCATTGAGATACCCTAGGTTGACTGACTTGTGAAGCGGGGAAGCGTTGTAATGGCGCTGCAGATTGCATTGTACTATATGCATGCTTTTTCTCATGAGCGACTTTCTCATAGACGCTTTGGTTCATTTTCGCTTTAACTGAGTATGAAAGCGTATGTTGCATCAGATATGCAATGCAAAAGGACTTTTTGGTATAAACTCATTATTGTAAATATGATTAAAATAATTGCATATGAAAAAGGTGCGATAAGTATAAGCCAATAAGATCATTTATTGTTAGACTAGTTGTTGCTGACATTTCTTTGCTACTACATGGCGCAACGGTACTGTAACTTTAGGCTCGGCTCCAGGTCAGCCAGTACCTCTCTTGTATGCTGTGTTGTTCAGCTTGTCCCATATGCAGGGCTTTGGTAGAATTACCACAATTGATTTGACAATAACGTTGGTGTAGCGTACAACCATTAATTCCAAGCTTGTACGGGTATAGTGTAATGATTGATGATTTGGCTTACCCCGCATTCGATAGCAATTGAGATACTACGATTATTATCAGTATGAGATTTAGATGCTTAGATCTGAGGCTATTCGTCGTTTACTCTGCAGAAGGGTCCGACGACCCCTAGCTTAGATTTAGACCCCTTTTCACGGAGTTCTACTCTCGATGAATGCCACGATATTGAGAATAGAAACCGCCTACTTTCCGATATTCTAGTTCTTCAGATAAATCAGATCAATACATTTTTATCTCATGATCTTACAATTAGTAAAACGATCATTGGCGAAATGCTCTGACATTCTAGCCAAGGTCAAACACATTATCAGGTAGTATCATGTTCGCCACGTCTTTAGAGATAATTAATATCTGATTCATGTTATCTAACCATTTACACTGCTATCTCGACTTACGAGTTGGGTGAAAGGTACTGCGGGGTAATTTTTTGAGAGCTGAAAATCGTGGATAGGAAGTTGGGCGCGCAACTGGTAAGCTGATCAGGCCTTCAGCTTGATGCATAATATTTCAATAGCTTCATGCGATGGGACAGATATGATTGATATGATATTAAATGGGAGAAATGGTTCATGCACAGGATCGAAGCTGAGGCATCTGCATGGTATCTCAGCTTCATGTACATACAACTCACTCATCAATTCGGAATTCCAAGATTGGATAGTCGAGTCCGTACGTAAGGATAGGCTGCTCGCCTACCAACCGGGTGGATTGGGGCACCCATTTGGTGGTCACGGGCCCTTTTAGAGTATGTGGGGTAGGCTGAAGAGATGTAACTACCCACCCATAGGTACCCGTTGAGCAGCCGAGTCCCGTTCCGATAAAGGGGAAATGGAGTCAATATATATATACTGATACCAAGCTTGTTTATTTGCTCCTTCCTGATATCATTCATATACCTTTTTGTTCCCTCTTCAATTTTTGTATCAAATTCTCTACAAGCATAGCACTCAAAATGCACGAGAACACCAATTTTCTCAATGTCCCGATCTCGTTCAAGTTAACGGAAGTCGATGGTCTCACCTCACCAAAACCCAACATCGAACCTGATGTGAATAAGGGCCTTCCATCCTACACACCGATCAGTAAAGGAGCTGGCAAGAATAGTGATCCAATTCCTGGAGAACTCAATATCCTTGCGAAGCTCACTGGAGATTTCCACGGTGCTGGGTTGAACATGATCTTCCGCCCATCTTGGGGAAACAATAGAAGGAATAACGTTCTGGAGTACAACGTGACCGAAGAGGACACACAGTTCTTGAAGGACATTGGCGACATATTCAACCGAGGTCTGGGTAGGCAACGAGACGTCATTTTGAAGGGTGTTCCATACATGCAGACGATCAAGGACATGCTCAATCCCATAACAGGACAGGCTGATCGGGAGGAAGGGATTGCAATTCACTTCGAGTCAGGCATGTTCCTTAGAACTCCACCGACTGAGATCAGGCCTGAGGTCCTTCGAGGTACTATCTCGCGTCTAGCATCTATACCACACGGAACTGCCATCAACTGCCAAGGCTTCGAACCAGACATGAAGAACCCTATATCTGGTAACCCGGATATCAAACCAATCTCAGTCTTGCCATTTCCCATGGGTATGCACGGCGACGTCAACACATTCGCAGACTTTTTCCCTCAGCTGAATTTCAAGAGAAAATATGAGCTGCGTATCCCCCAAGAGATCAAGGAGGGCGACATACTCAATACACCTCTCATGCTAGATCCAAACCGGATGCTAAGAGAATTCAATGAAAACAGCACGAAGAAAAAAATCCGAGAACACCTTTTCTTCACAATCCATTCCGATCCCGTAGTTTCTAAGATCCCCGGAGGTGGCACAGCAAACATTGCTTTCCTGCAAGGTTCAGGTATTCGTGATGGTCGCCAAAATCCAGGCCCTAATGCCCATGGCGTCAACGTCGGATGTGATTATTGGATTTCAACCGTTGAATACGATGTTCTGCTACCGGAGGGTAATTTCTCTGGGGACAAGAAAGAGACAAGAGTTGTTGAGTCTGAAGCACGGAAAGAGGAGAAAGCAGCTGGCAAGATAGTGGTTTCTCCTTCTTTCGAATTGAAGCTGGACAGGGTGATACCACCAAACACGACTGTGAAGCTCGATGCTACCCAAATTCAATACTCACAGAACGTCACATTGGACTTTGATGAGATGGGTTGGCCACACATCTCGGTGGCTACATTGTCGCCAAAGAATCCAGTGCCGATTGAGGCTTCTCAGATTATCTTCTGAAGTAGCATATAATATAATGAGTTTTGTTGAAGTCCTTTCTCAAATGTGTTTTATTTTTATATCCTCTGCCTGTGAATGGTGATAGGTTCAAAGGAAGTTGCGCAAGAGGAGTGAATGAAAAACTATAAATTAGAAGGTGGTTTTATACACTCGAAGTCATTATGTGATATTGTAAACGAACTGCAGCATATGACAACCTTCTACCTCCCTCTAGAAAATCTGGATAGTTTAGGGTAATTGAGCTGAGTATGACTCAATATCAAATATTCGGTTTCATGCTTCTTGATAATTGCGACGGCGAAGGTGCTTATAAGTTAGCATCATGGAGCCTATATTTAAGCTCGGTTTTAGCGAGCGACTGCCGAATGGCGCCCCGTCAGCTTCTGTCAGGTGTGTTCTGCTACTCGAACCTTTCTCACAATCCTGTAGCAAGCAGCAGCTCTCCGCCTTCTTTTCTTTCGATTAAGTCATAAGAGGAATGGGGCAGTATTACAACATAGGAGCTTCGTGCTCGTATCTTGAAAATGAACGGACAATGTCAAAAGATGATGAAATCAGGTGGTGGACCTATTAAGAGCAAATTGTGGTGATATAGATAGAAATTGAAGTTAATAACTCTCCATTGATATTTAGGTGTTCTCGGCTAATTTTTCGGGTGTTGCATCGATTTTGATACACCTGGTGACTGAAAGAAATGATACACACAGCCAATATTGCACGTAAAGCCCTTATAGAGATGATTATTATATTGAGCAGTTAATTTAACTCAAACAAATTGTTATCGTTTTGTCTATCCCTAAGACTTCTCTCAAGTTTCTTTCTCTAACTTATATATACACAGAATAATAATGAGATAAGTCAACTACTCTACTTTCCGACCACCCCCTCTTTTCAACCATCTCAAAAACTATACCGCTTTGAGTAATTATAAAATTTACACTTTGAATAACTTAATAATACTTTAATCAATTAATTTGAAATTTTGATATTATTATAATTACAATATAAAAAATAAATATATTAAAAAAAATATCACAAAGATTTTTAGAATAATTACAAATAAAATAAATATATAAAAAGTTAATTTAAATTATAATATTCTATATATTACACTTTACAATTGAATATATAATAAAGTTTTATATTAAAAAGATATCCAAATACTTTAAAAGTTATTTCTAATTCAAAAAAATCAATTAATAAAATAAATATTAATATAAAAAGCTTTTAGTATTAATCCTATATATTATTAAATCAAAAAAATAATAAAATATCTTTTTATTATATAAAAAAAGAATCTTTTTTTGAAAATATCCTAATATTGGAATTAAGAAATAATATCAAATCGATTTTGTACAAGTTTTAGATATTATATCTAATATTATTAAAAAGTGATTCCAAAATCTTATAATTCCTGAAATTAAAATTATTAAATTAATTAATAAATAAAATATAAATAAAGTAGATATAATAGAAAATCAGGATTTTAATAAATTAATAATAGAAAACATTAATCAAAGATTTATTCAAAAAAAGCAATCTGGATCTCGAATTTGAATCTTTTTTATAAAATATATTTCAATTAATAAAAAAAGTATTATTCCCTTTATAATATATAAAAGAAAATTAATTCAATAATAATAATTTTCAATTAATTTGACTCTATTTAAGAATTGAAATTTTATTATTATAGAAAATAAATGAATTATAGATACTACAACTTTAAAATAATTAAGAAAAATCTATATCCTTTAAATTACTTTTATTTAATCAGAAAATTTAAGATTTCTTATTTTGAATGGATACAAAAACTATAAAACTATAATATTTATATTAGAATATTTCAATAATAATATATATTTCTTATTTCTTTTATTATATATATCACATGTCACGCTAAAAGTAACGCCACTAATAGCCTTAGACTAATTGGGTTTATATAGACTTAATTCTCCCGTAACATACCCCCGAGATTGCTAACTAGCTGGTTATAGGTAGTAATCTCTTTATATTAGTCTCATTGAGTTATATATACGCAAATCTTTTATTATATCCTTATACTACCAAATCTAAATTCTCTTTTTGGATACAACTAGATTTTAATAAACTATGTAAATATAGCGGGACAATAGAACAGAATCCTCAAATTAGTTTTAATAAACCAAAATCAAATAACTAATGTGGGTTTATTGAAATACTCTCTTATAAATAGATCCACCAAACCCTACAAGAGAGTATGGTAAAGTGAAGAATTATATTATTGTGTTATAAACACATATCGGGCTTATAATTATCATGCTAAAAGTGATGCTACTAATAGCCTTAGACTAATTGGGTTTATATAGGCTTAATTCTCCCGTGACATCACATATACTACAACTACTTAATTTATCTATATTCTCACTATTAAAAAATATATATTAAATTGAACTTAATAAATTAAATTTATTATCCAATTTCTTATTAATTGGAAAATACAATTTCCTTTTTTGTTATCAAAAGACTAGAATAAAAGATTTAATTATTTGAAATATTAAGTTTGAATAATAAGTTAGTAGTTTTTAATTTAAAAATATAGCTAAATCTTTTATAAATTGATTTATATTTGAAAATAATAATAAAAAGATTTTATTACTTAATCCTAAATCTAATAATGATTTTATTCTTTGATAAAAAACCCCTTAAAAAAACCAATGTTAGAAAATATAGAGATATAATAATTTAAAAAAAGAAAATCAATTTGTTAACACAAAGATTATTATTTTGTAAAATTATAAAAGGATTTGATATTAAGGATTATAAACTTTTAAAAACAGAAAATAAAATTAAAAAGCTAGAATATCAATTAAATGAAATATTATCTAGAAAAAAGCAAAAAATTGTAATATCTCCAAATTCAAAGTTTACAGGGATTAGAACTATAAGGTGTATACAAATTGAAGCAGGAGATCATAAAATTGAGGGAGATGATAGCTCTAATACTATAAAAGTGATTCTACAAGCGATTTTATTGAAGTTTAATAGTTATTGAGTTATTAAAGTTTTAAGTAACGTGGTTTATTATCGAATAAACTATATCATTGAGTAGGCTACTTTTCCCTCAATTCACATCTTCAAATCTATATTATTCAATAATCATTAAATAAATTAATTGAAATTATTAAGATTCTAATAATTTAGGATTTATTATATTATTTTGATAAATTCTTATATTATATCTAATCTTTATATATTTATTATAATATTAATTAGAAAATACTTTTCTATTAGAATTTTTTTCTTTTTAATATTTGTTATATTAAATCTAAATATTAATCTTTTATTGAGATAATATATTAAAAGTCTTTTATTTAATAAATATTTTTCTTTAATGTAATTAAGTTTTTTTGGTATATTGATATTTGTTTAATATTTTATTTGTTATTTGAAATGTATAAATCTCTATATTTAAAAGTATATTTTTATAAGCTAATCTTTTTATATTTTTAATTAGAGTTAATATAATTTCGAATATAGATATAGGGAAACTTGATTGATAATGAGTTATTCGAGATTTAATTAATATTAATTGAGAAAAAGCTTTAATTGAATTATAAGAGATTTGAGAGATTTATTGATTTAAATCGAAAAAGGGGGGAGTAGGTGTATAAATTTGAATATTTAATTTCGAAAATATAGTTTCAGAATTAAATAGAATTAAATCTATTCCTCGAAACTCTGATTTTATATTCTAAGAGATAATTGATTTTTTATATATAACTTTAAAAGCTATAAAGAATTCAATCTTTGAAATATAATTAATATATATTTTAATAAATCTATTAATTTGATTATTATATAAATATTTCAGATTATTAAAATAGTTTATATTAAGTAGTTGAATTAAATGATTTAAATGTAGTAATAGATTTAAGTATATAATATTGTTTTTTTTATAATATATTTGAAAAGCTTTTGATTTATGATTTTTATATCTATTTAATATTAATATTCGATATCTATTCTTTCTTTGATTCTTAATATACTTATCGAAATGTTTCAATTATTCTAAATCTGTTTTATTATTTGTTTATTTATTAAATATAGATTTAATAGCTTAATCTATAGGAAAATCGGTTTCGATATATCAATTAAAAAGATAAATCTATTTTTGAATTATTAGAAATAGGAGTATAATTTTATTTTTCTTATTATTATATATAATTGCTATAACCTATTTTCTATTATCTAATTGTATTATTTTGCTTCTATTATTTCATTTAATATTAATTATAATTATTCTGGAGTATATTATATTTATTATAAAACCTGTTTTATCGAAATTATAGAAATCATTATTCAAAATACTATATTTCGCTTATATATTTATAATTAATTGAAATCATTTTTTAATAAACTTAGAATCTTTATAAAAAGATTTTTGAAAATTATAAATACAATTAAAATGTATTTTTAATTCAATTCAATATTTTATGAATCAATATATTCAGAGCTTTTTAATATACTTTATACTTCTCGATTCAAGAATATAATTTGCTATATCTTCTATATTTCTTAATTTAAATAAAAAACCTTTCGAATCCATATCAAGAATATATTAAATAATCACTTTCTTTTCTAATTCTATAATATTATAATAATTCATTCAAATTTCTATATAAAATAATAAATTATTTATTTTATATTAAAGAATTATATAAGAAATATTATAAAACTTAAAAGCTTTTCAAATACTTAGTTTTTTATTTTTATAAATAATTTCGATAACAAGAAAGATTCAGGCTTTTTAATTAATTGATTTTATAATAATTGATTAATGAATCGCATATAGAAGTTGAAGATATGAATTGAGGGAAAAATAGCCCACTTAATAATATAGCCTACTCGATGATAAACCACGTTATAGATAATATGATTTTTTTAGGTGATCGGAAACAGGGGGTGGTCGGAAAGTGGGGTAGTTGACTTACATATTACAAATTAGTTGCTGGCAGCCATTACAACCTCGGACAACTTGACAGTCCACAATTGACGCATGCCGAGGATGACGAGAATATCGCCAGCCAGAGCAAATTGTACAATAGCCAAGTTGATTGGGTCTGGGGTGAAGAACTGAGCATTAAAGACACCAAGGAGCTTGCCTCCAGGGCTACGGATCATAACACCCTCACCCTCACCAGTCCAGACGCGACCTTTGTTGTCGACGCGGATTCCATCTGGGGCTTGCATGCGGGCTACGCTGAAAACGCGGCGGTTAACGGGTAGCATGTCGGCATCAAGATCGTACTTGTAAACGCCGGGAATTCCAACTTGGGCTGGAAGGCCCCAAACAGGAACATGGGGGGTTCCACCGAAATCAGTGATGTAGATGGATTTCTGGTCCACAGAGGGACGGACACCGTTTGCGACGGGAAAATCGGTTCGGCTGATAACCGGCGCAAGAATCTTGGAGATTGGGTCGAATCTCCAGAGACCTTGGGCAAGACCGTTGGTCACAGTACCAGCAGTGGAAGGCAAGACAGTGATGTACATGAATGAGCGGTTGGTCTCTGGTTGTGTGACCCAAGCGACATCGTCGATAGCGTCGAACTTTAAGCCCATATACGAATTTATAATTACCTCGGCATCACCCATGCTAGGATTGACGGTGTAAACACCACCACTGAAGTTGCGGGTTTCATCGCGGAGAGAGGTGAAGTAGACAAGACCTTGGTGATAACAACCACCGTTGGGGTTCTCAAGTGGGATGGAGGTGGTCAGGTTGCGGGTGGTTCCATTAGCCAGATCGAGAATCTCGACATGGGTTGGTCCATCGTTGATCCAAGTGGTGTACCAGACTTCATTGCGCTCTTTGAGCCAAACGCCGGCTTCACCAGCGAAGTTCAAGGCTCGCTCCTCGACGAGGTTGGCAGATGGATTCGGGCCGAGCAGGGTGAGAAACTTGTCGTCATAGGACACAAATGGGGCAGTCTTAGCAGACTGAAGGAGGGTGTTGACATTTTCGTGCGAGGTGGTGGTGCTGTTGAGGAAGCTAAAGGTTGGGTTACTCTCAAATGGCGCTGGAAGTAAGTAGGTGTAATCTATAGGGACAGAGACAACGGTGCTGCTGTTTCGCGCTGCAGATGGTAAGATGAGGGCTGCGGCAGATGCCAAGCCGACAAAGAGAGGTCGAATTAGTGACATATTAGGCGAAGAAAAGATGCTTAAAGAATGTGTGAGACGAAGACTGCCAAAAGAATAAGCAGATGAGTATTTCAAAAGCAGGATACACCAATGGAAATGCCGATACTTATAAACATTTCGTTTCTCCCACTGAGCCTTACAGAGTCTAGATCAAGAGTTCTCCGCCTCTGCCAGATTAAAACGAACCAGACATCTGGCGTAATTGCGGAGGTGCGAAGGTATCATGGCACAATGATGACACTGCTTCCTAATAACCATAATTGTGCCGATACAGAACTGCGCATGGCAGAAGAAGGCGACAATAGGACTTGTCTTTGGTGTCTCCGTAAACATCTCTGATATGAGATGTCATATCGGCTTTAGACTTTAAAATAAATCAAAGTGATAAACCCGAAAGTAAAAACTCAATTAAACCCCCCTACTCCTGAAAAGTGTCAGAGATTTCAAGGTTTTCTTCTTTGCTACATACCCATATTATTCGTTCACATAAGTGCCAAAGATCACGGTGCCTAGGCACAGGAGAGAAACACGCACCGCCGCGATTGGTGCAAATTGACGATGTTGAGCAAGTAAACTTCTATGTAAGTCAGATACAGTAGTAGTCATATCGAACACCTTTCGTTTCCTACTATCTTTTATTGACAAGAGAGCCAATTTGTCTCGTATAGCCAACACCAAACTGATAGCTATCTGGCAGCTCATCCTGTATCATTTTGCAACGGGATACATCCTTGTATATTCTCATAAATACAGTATGACGTACAATAAATGTTGAACAAGTTTACCCTTTGACAATTACACTTTTTTTATTTAACTTTGACACTATAACCAAAGAATTGCTCTTGCAAATCAAACACTCCAGGTTGAGATAGTCTACTTTTTTCGGCCGAAAAATTAACCGATATCTCTACATCGTGCACGCCCCTGTATTATGCACACCACCAGTGGGTACACAGACTCACAGAATACTTAAGAGGAAAAGCACAATTTCACACCAAAAAGAGCTATTTTGATAATTCAATTAAAATTCAAAAAATTGATATTTGACTTTGAAATTAAGAATTATTATTTTCAAATATAAGAATTTTATATAATAGAAGTTTTATTTTAAAAAAAAACAAAATTTATATTTATATAATTGATTATATGATATCTCATTAAAAGATTTGATAGGAAAATATATTATTTGATTTTTAAATTTAATATTTATTTTTAAAATTCAATTTTTATATATTATATGAATTTTATATTTATAAATTATATATCTTAATCTGAATGATATTAGATGGAATTTGGAATTTTGATTGAGTTTTGAAGTTGATAAATTTGAGTGTGAAATTGTGCTTTCCTATCACGTTGTCCTGTGAGGTCTGTGCACCCCCTGGTGCACTTTTATTTCTTTTAAAAAAGATATTCTAAATTCAATATATAATCAATTAATCATTGAGTTCATTAATAATATGATAATATACTATATTACTATTATTTCTTATAAAAATAATTAAAATATAAAAATAATCCTTATATATAATACAATTTCAATATTAAAATTATTAATAACAAAAATATTATATATTAATTATTTATTGATAAAAATAGCGAAAAGTGGATTTTCGATATCTTTTTATAAATTTGAATCTATTTAAATATAAAGAATTGAAAAACTAAGTTTTTATATTGTAAATTCGATTATTCGATCAATATATCAGTTAAGTTTTCAAAAATAATCTTTTTTAAAATAAAAATTAAATTATAAATCAAGTATTTATAATAATTTTATTATTTTATTATTGTAATATTATTCATAGAATTTATTTCAATTAGAAAAACTAAAAAGAACTATATTTATTAAATATATTACATATAATCAATTATCTAAAAAATTCTAAAAATTAAATATTAGAATTATATAATTAATAATAAATATTTCTAAAAAAGATTTTTTTTTTAAATTGTAAAAATAGAATTAATTTGAATATTAATAAAAACAGAATATATTATAATATTAATTATAATTATATTTAATCTGTAAAATTACTAGGAATATTATAAAATTTAAGGATTTTTTTTAAAAATAAATTCTTTTAAAAATAGATTTATAATACTTTTATTTTTTTTAAAAAAAATAATAGATTGATTCATCAAGAAATTAGAATACATTATTTCATTATTATTTTTTCGTTTTATATATTAATTTATAATATAATAAATTATAATTTGTAATTATTTATTATTTTTATATAATTTTATTATTATTATATTATATATTTCTAATATATTAAAGTTTAATATTCTAATTAAAAATTCAAATAATAATTCAGATTCTTAAAAATCTATAAAGAAATATTTTAAAATATTTAAAAAGATTTTTAAATTCTTTTTATTCTTTTAAATATTATATATATTTTTGAAATTATATTTAAAGCTTAATTTTTAAATTTTTCAAAATTTCAAACTTTTTTTCAATAATAATAATATAAATCAATTCGAAAAACTTATTTTTAATAATATAGATTTATTCTAATATAAATTTTTATTAGATTATTAACATCTTAGAATATTATTTTTTAAAATCAATTAATATTCTATTTAATATTTCAAATTCATCAAAAACTTATTAATATTTTGTTAATCTTCAGTTTGTTCTTTATAAATTTTGATATTATTATAAAGAGTTTTGGATTTAAAATCAATTTTTAATTCAATAAATTAAAGCGTGCAAGATACAGGGTCGTATACGATGCAGGGATATCGGTTATACCAAGCTTTTTGAAAGACGCTAGAAGACTAGCATATCATCTATCATCGCGAAGATTTATAATGTGAATCGCTATATATCACATTGAGGACTTAAAGGGCAATCGGCCCTTTGTATCTCCTTCTAAGGAGATATCTATCGATTTCTTAATAGAGCGCAAGAAGAGAGTTTGATGATTACAAAGACATATAATTTTTTGATATAATTTTGAAGTTCAACCAACGGCTATATTCTAGTACTATATCTAGACATTTGAGAAGTTTTCCAATTTATAGAATCAAATATAAAAGTGTTATAATTATTTATTCATTTATACTATATGTCTAGTTGTATATGAGTTTGAAAGTTTAATCATTATTATTATCATTAAATCGTGTAGTTGTTGGAATATAAGACTATATATAATCTATCTCAATTTGGTGTTGTCATATTACACCTTTATAGACGGGATCGAATATCGATATGTATTTAGTCACCATTTCCCTATTCAATCTCTACTCGCATGTTAAATGCATGCCATCCACCTCCCCCCTAATAATCCTGCCAATTTCCCCTCCACGGCTCACTCTCCGCCTTCTTATTTTGCCCATGCAAATACCTCGCACTTAACTCCTCCTCATCAACTCCGCAATGCATTTCGCCGTCCCTTCCCTTAAACCAGCCCAACCCATATTTCTTTCCGATCCCCACTAATCGCTCTTCCATTTCGCGGTTGTTGAGTTTCTCGGTGCCCACAAAATCATACAACATGTTGGATTGATAGATAAACGCCAGAATCGACGCGATAGAACTGGGTTGGCGGGGGAGAAAGGGATGGCGTCGACGCGCGTAGGAGAGGACTGAGATGCAGATTAGGAAGACGAGGATGGAGAGCGCGAGGAAAAAAGAAGCCCAGAAGGAGGCGAATGTTTCTTCGCCGGCGTCGACGCCGCTAGAGGGGGCATTGGGAGAGGATGAGCGAGATGTAAAATCGTTTCCGGTGACGGTGCTGAAACTGGTGACGCAGACGGTGAGGACTTCCGCGAGGACAGAGCCGAGTCCTACGACGGCAACGAGGTAGTGGCCGTTGAGGAAAGCGCGGATGGGGAGCCAGCCGAAGGCCATGGCGGTATAGTCGAGGGTGAGGGCGGTAGGGGAAGCGTGGCGTAGAGACAGGATGTAGAAGGGTTCGATCATGCGGATAGCGGTTTCGAGACTGCCCCAGCAGAGTTTGATGGAGACGGCGCCGAGGGTGAGGAGCCAGGGGGCTTTGTCGGTGATGGTGTTGGCGGGGGTGAAGAGGATGATGGGGATGAGGAGCGTGAAGAGGAACATGGAGATTATGAATGGGATGCCAGCGATGAGACGCAGAAATAGTGGATGTGGATTCTGAGAGGCGTGGGAGTGGGCATCGTATTTGTCCTTATCTGCTTGAGTGAGAATCTGGTCTGATGGGGCGAGAGAAGAATTGCGTAGGGTGTAGTGATGTGCTTTTAGTTTCTGATGAATCATATCCGGAGTCGCGGTATCCATGTCTTTGAAATCCATCAGGATATGCGAGCGATTTGCCATGGCGGCGATTCCAGCAACTCCTTTAACATCGGCCACGAGACCCGAGGGGCGGCGCTCCAGCTGCCAGAGTAGGATACACCCGAATATAGCACAGAGCCAGAGCGAGAGACTGAGTAAACGAGACCAGGGACCACTAATCACAATTCCTTTTAGTACAGTTGGATCTGCTCTCCTGATTTCTCGACTCGGGATTAGAATTACACTTGCAGATTGCAGCGTGGGAACTAAAGACACGGCTAATAAAGTCGCGATGGACGAGACAGCCACAGCGTAATGTTTAAACTGCAACGCGCGAAAAGGACGCAAGACGTTAAAAAAGGTAATATAATCCACATTAATTGATTCCGCAGCTAACGCACCGCCTTCTCTGGAAAGTTGATAATAGGCTTCTAGACGCTTGACTTCGAAATCGGTGATTTGCCATAAAACGCCAAAGATAACGGCGACGAGAGTGGGGAGATATTTGAAACAAAAATAATCCCATGTCTTCATCGCAGATGCGGATGTGAAGGAATAGAGAGGACTTTTGCGCGATTTCTGATAGAGATATTCTTCTGCGGCGCCGAGGACCACAGATATAATGATGAGTGCGGTGAGGTAGGGCGCACGCATGGAAAAGGGCTTCCAATTCGCTTGGGGGTAGAATACTTCCACGTTGGAACTTTTGAATGTGGCTTTTTTGTTGATGGTCGAGGGGAGAGAATCCATACTCTTGAAATCGAAATTCGATTCGTGCATTCCAGTGTGGCCGGCGAAGGAACTTATATCAACAGGTGCATCGATGGGCTCTTGCACGATGACTTCGATTACCTCGCCGCGCCTGTTGGCTTCGTTCTGAGCGAGATCTTTGAGTGTGGGAGCTCGGATGAGACCATTTCGTAGAGTTAGACGACGGGAAAGACGAGAAGCTGCGTTGCTGGATTGAGAATTCTCGGCCATTAAATCGTGGCTGGTAATCGTACTATCTGGAGTAAAACCAGCGCCCAATCCGCCGGTAAGTATTCCCGCTGCTTCTTGTCGATTAATTTGCTTGCGCATTGCGGGGGTCAATGAGGAGTTGTGGATAGGTTCGTGGAACATGGAGAGATCGAAGGGAATCGCCATGGGAGATACCATGGGAGCATCTTCATATTCTGTTTCTGCACTGGCGGTGCTATCGATGATTTTCCCTTGGTAGGCCATGGGCATGGCGGCACTGAGGAGATTGAGATCGAATTCTTCTTCTGGTATAGACGCATCTCGAGAATGGTTGAGGAGTGATTTTCTGTGAGAAAATCGTTTTGGGGCGAGTTTGCTCTTCGTGTCGTCTTTGCTGGAATCTGCATCTGTTCTTGTGGTTGATGGATTATATGAACTAGCACGTTTCGAGAAAAGTTTGAAAGATTTCTGAGTTGGAGATGCAAGTCCTGCTTTGAAAGGGTCTGGTAAGAACAGTGATCTTCGATTTTGTTTTGATGATCTATCCGTTGGACCCGATGGTGTCAATATGTGTGCAGATAAGGGCACATGACTGATATCAATCTCATCACTTTCATTAGATAGGAAAGAAGGTTCTAGTGTAGGTGAAACTTTTGATGATAATGAAGATTGATTCCTATTATGATGCGGGGTGCGTGTCTTTGGATGGCTCTGATTTCCAATTGAGGTTATATGATGTGTTGGGTTCGATTTCGAGGAGGGTGATGTAGATTGATTGGATGGAGGGGTCTCCCCGGATTCATGTTCTGCCATAACCCAATTCTTTAATTATTGCAAACTTCTATGGATATCGAATATGAAGCTAGAGGATAAAGGCTGCGAGGAACTTGTTAGACCCAACGTTCTCTTTCATATATACAGAGTGAATATACCTGGAAGAACAATAAAGCGGGTCTAGAGGCACTCGCTCTCGGTGATTGGATATTTCAGCACTTTTGGTGGAAGCCTAAAAGCTTCAAAACAATCGTGGTAGAGTACCAAACTCTAATTGTACGAATGCGAAAGATGTAACGTTTTTTGAATATATATTTTGGTGGGCTTTCCTGTGGGCGGCACAGCCTTTGCGTACCTTGCGATAAGCTCCCCAGCTTGTGATATGTATGTGAATGGGCTGTGCTGCAGGGGACTTTCGCTGAAGTTTGTATATGTGAATGTAAGATGTAAAATTTAAGATATACAAGATATGAAGATAAAATATACAAACCATTCACGACACCAACAGAGAAAACAAAGAAAGTGAAGTTAGAAGAAGATACCTATTCATAGATACAAACAAACATTGCTATCGCCAACCGGAGCTAAGAATCCTAGTCGAAAGTCATCACTTCCCTCCCTCCCAACGTTGTATCACGACCCGTCCCTTCAGACGAACCGGACCTTTCATCTGAAAGTATCTCAAAAGCTGGGACTGGATTGCCAAGAGCGCTTTGGAAACCTAGACGCCCCCAATAAAAGACGTGGAGGATACTACATAGCGCCAATCACCACTTCTTATTTTCGCCACATCTAATCTCAAAATAGAACGGATTAGGAAAGGTGGAAGCAAATCGAACGTCGTGTATGCACAGAAATAACTTCTGGATAAGCGCGTACTGAATCTCTGATCATATATACCCTTGTAGGTTGGTGAGCGTTTCAGATATCGCGAATAGATTGATGTGATTGGGGGCTGGAATTGGAGTTGGGAAAGAGAAGATGTGTATTTCTGATACAGAAGAATGCAATGGAATTTGAGGCACCCAAAAAGAATCCAACTAGTAAAATATCAAAGTCATTTTCTTTGAAGCTTAGTTTTGACGTATCTAATGGTTCGTTGATAGGGCTGAAATCCACCAAAAAGGGTCGATTCAGTCCTCGTGGCATGTTTCGCCAATGTACACTGTACAAGAGTGGGTTGAGACATTCATCGTAAACAACACCAATGATATTGAATTGATCAAAGTGTGATAGACATAACCTTAAAACGTGGTTAATGGCAGAAACCAAAAGGATCTAGAATCAGTCTCAAAGAAAGGAGAAATAATCTGTCATACTTATGTACAGCCATTTCGCAATCGTTTCCCTGTTGTCTAGGTGTGCGTTTGAATAATTTCAACATTCCTGATTGTGACGGGGAAAAAACCCAAGTCTCCGCCCGCCTTTAAAATTCTTCATGATATCCAATTGCGGTAATATCATCAGTTTTCCTTCCTCAAATATGTTTCTGTCTCTAACACTTCGCCGCATCATTTCAGCTTACCTTGATGATAAATACTTCATGAAGCTCCATCTTGTTGTGGTGATTGATTAAATTGGAGGATAAAAATTTCTTTTGTTGTCTAGATTTTGTACTCGGGCTGCAAAACTAACTATCGTCTGAACTACGAGTGTACAAAGACTAGTTAGTTACTTAGCCAATGAATGATTTGCAATGATTCAGATGAATTTAATTCATCTATTATTTTTGTTTCGAATTAATTATTCATTGATTGATTTATCTTTCTATTCTCTAGCTTATCAATAACTGCGAGATTGATTACCTTTGAATCCACACCGGCATTGTCAGACGATATCGAATATCACAATAGCTCATTCGAAGACAATCACAAAAGAAATCAGGAAGAAAGTTCGATAACCAACGACGATATTCAATTTATATAGGTATCTAGGTCTATGTATATTCTCAAGCTATGTGGATACAATTTATTAAGTAAAGTTCCCTTGACCCAAACACCAAAGCTAATCAAAAACTAATCCAACCCGTCCAAAAAACCTGTTGAACAATTAAAATAAAATTAAAGGTAACAAATCAGAAGAATTAAACAAACAATCCCTCTTCGACCAAGCTTCCTACATCTCCTCCTGCTGCCCTGATAGCTTTCAGCGCCGCCTGCGACAATTTTCTTCTCTTCTCCATCGCTTCTTTCTCTCGTCTCGCTTTTGTCTTACTCGATCCACTGGGTGCTACTCCAGTCAATATTTTGCGACTATCATCTGGGGTATAATTGACAAAATCCACCATGCCGCGTCCCGAAGTAGGCGTTCGCGGAGATGTATTTCTATTCTTTGATTTCCGTTGCTTTCGCATGTGGAACGTAGGTGAGGATTTAGGAGAGGGCGATTCGGAACCACTGGATCCAGTGCGAGTTTTGCGGGGTCGCGGATTGGGGTAATGGTGGGAATGGGAATGCTGATGCGACTTGCGCGATGAAGGGGAGTGATGAGAATAGTGTGAATGCGAGTGTGTTCGAGATGCTCCATTATGAGTGTGATATGGTGTATGAGGTTGGGGTCCCCCTCCATTAGCACTAGTGTTGAAGTATCCTTGCTGAAGCATAGGGGAAGATTCTACGACGAATGACTGTTGGGGCATACTTTCTGGCATGGAAATCATTAATCCTTGCGCCATGTTCATTTCGTTGCTATTATAGGAAAGCTCATTTTGTAAATGGAAAGCAAGGTTTTTGGTTGCCCTTTGAGAATTTCGGTGAAGCGTATTCGGTGAAGGTTGTGCCATTGGTGTTATCGATGCGTGGTTCCACCAGAGAGAATTTCCGTCAGCCTCTACTTCAACGGGGTATCCAGATGAGGCTCCAATTGAGCTGAAATTTGACCCTGGTACGTGTGACCATGAGGCTGACACTTGTTGAGATTTGGGAGTTATAGGATACATTGATCCATTTGACGATGATTGATGATATCTCATTTCTGGTGTATGTTTGTTGTCTAGGTTGGGTGTCGATAGTGGTGTGTTGTAATCTGTGGGTATGGATGGGAATTGTAAGTCTTGTGGCATGCCAGTCCATGAATCTTCAGAAACAACTGTCTTTTGAATTTTCTTCAACGATGAAGTGTGTTCAGATGCATTGGACATTCTAGCTGATTGTGGAGGTGACATTGGTGATTGATGTTGAGGATTGGAACCAAATTTGGAAGAATCCAAAGCCAATTTTCGTCTCATCGTTTCCCGGCTCATTTTTCCAAGACTAGTTGAGCCTCGTGGCACGTTTGTAGAGCTGGTATGCGACTTTCGAATGGGACTTCTGAGAGATTTTTCCAATTTTATGCTCGCTTTCTTCAAAGTGTTGGCAAGTGCTTCAACACGGCTCTTCTTTCTTGTTGAAGCAGCAGGTGCTGGTGTTGTTGGAAGAGATGGGTGAGACCATGCTTCTATTTGAGGTGGTTGCAAAGAAATATCTTCAAGGCTGAGAAGATCGGAGTCAGATATTGCGGCTCTGCCAGATAGTTCTGCATAGAAAAGATTATCTTGTGTGCCGTCTGGTGAGGCTGAATCTTGGGCGAAAACCCATGGATCGCCTTGCCAATTGGCTTCAATTTCCAGGGCATCAGCATCGTGTAAAGATCCTAGTAGTGTCTCTGAATCTTGATCTTTGCTATCTGATGAGTCTTCTGAAGATTTAGGCTGGGGAAGGTCATCATCAGCGTCATTGGACGGACTGAATGTAATAAATTCGTCGAAAAATGCGTTATCTAATTCGTCAAAGTTATTTGTGAATAATTCCGATGATTTTCCCACATTCGTCGGAGGAGACATATTGGGTTTGTTATGGAGAGGCTGAGTAGTAAGGTATGAACGTGCCTGAGTATACAGGTAAAGTTAGAAAAGTGCAAGTATGATAGGCTGGAGGGAGAAGCAGAATATGCAAGTCAAATGCCAGATGTACGATGATGTAGGTGATGAAGCAAGCAAGACAAAAATGTCCAGGAGGGGATATTTATGAACAGGTCAGGTGTCTACCAGCCTTCTTCATTATATTATACACTGTGCTCATTGGAATGGAGTATATTTGCGTGACATACACGTGATTGTGCACTCTGCACCGTCCTTAAACATCGTCTCGAATTCCCCGGGATGGCAATACGTGCCGATACTAGCCATTTCATACCGTTCTGCGCATGTGTTTGCCGATGCGGAACTATCTCGTTGGGAGTGGGAATGCAATACATTCTTGGAGATGGATAGGCGAAAAATTCTCGCTTCGGTTTGGGATAGAAGTGAAAGTGATGCAAACGTTTAAGAAATTAAATATAGACGGAAAAGAGCTTGCAAGAGCAATTGGAGAAACTACAGCATAATATAGCTACCCCCCATAGCTCCTTGAAAAGTTTTTTCTTTGATTGAATTGAGTTCCTTTGCTAAGATGGAGCTGTCAAGTTCCTCAAAGAAACCCACATCGCTTGAGGGGATTCACTCAAAGAATAAAGAAATGTAAACCTGTAAGATACACAATTTTGCATCGGCTACAAACACATTGTGACCGAGGAATGTATGGCGTCGATCATTTCCTTGATAATTGGCTGCTGAGCTTTCTGGAAATATTTCTTTGTGGCAGATTTTTGGAGGGGGGTTCATTTTACATTCCAGAGCACTTTTCGCGAATTCTTCGAGATGGCGCGATGAACCTTTTGTAGCTCTTTTGCATTTTCATTTCCAGCCTTTGGGATTTTTGTAAGCTTGGTTGCAGAAATTGAGAAAATTGGTGAGATTGAGAGAGGGAAGAGGTAGTTATAAGAAGGGTTGATGTAAAAATAGAGAGGAATTTATCATGACATCCATCTGCGTGATATCTGAGCTCCACTTCCATTTCATTCTTCGGGAGTTTCATATCTGATTGTACCTGCATATGCATATGCAGGTCTGACATTCCCCACGTACCCTTCACGACGTACCCCTCAATAACCCACAGACATACATACATACATACTTACATACACACTATCCCAATTCCCACATGAGCCCTCCCCCAGCCCAAATCGAGCTCTCACACGCCTTCGAAAGGCTTCTCGAGGAACGTCTGGAAGCCGAACGTCTCCGTCGCGATCTGATTTTCTACTGGCACACTCTCATTCTCGAGTGTAAAAAGCGTGGGAAAGAAATCGAGCGGACTTTTTACCAGGCAGATAATTGTGGTGAGACGCCTTTTTCAAGCGAAGAAACTATTGTACCGGGAACTGGAACGCCTGATACGCTGACTGACGTATCGGGATTGGAGAGATTGCCGAGTCCGTTGAGTCCGGTGGTTAGCGCTGGGAAAACGAACTTGAGGGCGGAATTTGGGACAGAGAGAATTTTGAGGAGACTGGAGGGTTTGTTGAAGAAGTATCAGGGGGTCATTGGTGTGAACTTCTTGAAAGGAAAAGAATAAGCATAAGAAGAAGATAGAGGGAATGAGTAGAGAAGGGTTTTATTGGCAATCGGTCTCTTCTTGTTATACGTTGGGTGCTGGGAGAGGGCGAAGCGAAGCGGAATTATTGAGAAGTGAAAAAGAGCTGTTGAGGAAAAGTAAGGAATTTGTTGTGAGAAAGTGGAAGGGCAGGGAGAAAGTTCTAAAAGTGGTTTTTAGAAGGGGTGCTTGATTCGATTTTGAGAGACGAGGATTTCTCTTTACTTGGAATTCTTTGACTTGCGTTCTTTTCGTCGCCCAATTAGCTTTTCGCAAGCGCTCATTATCAAACTGGATTACTGCACTCGCTACACTACATTCTCACGATTTCCTACTCACAGTTACCCACATCACCAATCATACACAAAGATAAAATCACAATGTCTAATATGCTTTCACTCCCCAGAGAAAGTATCACCCTCATTTTGCACACCATCATTCGTTATCCGGCACAGATACGAACATGGTTATTCGTCCAATGCACACTCTTGAGTCTCGGGCTAGGAGATTTTGCTGAGGCACAGGCTGGAGCTGGTATGTGATGATTGTGAAAGGCCAGGCTTAGGTTCGTGTTTACTACTTGCATTGCCGGTAAGGAAAGAAAATGAGGGTTAGTTCTAGGGGCTGGATTATTTTGCCGAGGCGGGAACTGAGTTTCGTATTGTTGGATGAGAGTCGTAATGTGTAATCGAAGTATTCAAGAATGTATCTAGATGGTTTAGACAAAGATTAGATAAGAGTTCAGATATAAGATGAATGTGGTTATTAGCGGTATGGATAAACATGGTTGGTGAGCCGAGGTATTTTGAGATCAGAATATATGACGAATATGGAATACGTTGATGATAATTGCCATACCCGTACATTTTTAACTAATATCATACATGAATGGTATCCCTACTTACAGTGAACAGACCAATAGAAAGTCCTCTTCTTATTTGATTACAATCATTTGACCCCCGTCTTATGATCGCTTTTGATCAGTCTGAAAGATAGGTGGCATGAAAGCCATTCCCCTACCAGATACACTACTAGAACCCAATTCCACATCATGCACGCCTCCCGCCGATCTCGAGATAACATGTTTCCTCAACATAGCCAAAATCTCGCTATTTTGCCATCTTCTTGGTACTGGTCTATAAGCAGGCTTAAATGTTCCAATCGTTTGTGCCCATTCCCCACTTCTTGGAGCACCGTTTCTCCATGCATCTGTCTCCAATTCAGGACCGGTTTGTTTGCCAGGATCTGTACCTTGTGCTACTGGTGATTTCTTTTGATCAGTGCCCATAGCATTGGCTGTAGCTCCTTCTGGTCCATGGCCGGCTCCTTCAGCTGTTTCGCGAGATGTTGGGGATGGTTCTTGGGTGACCCAATAATAGATATCCCAATCATTTTCGTCGAGAAATTGATCATATTGTACCATTTGTGCAGCGGTCATGTTAGGAAGATGAGCATCCGCAAAGGTGGACATTAGGAGATCGGATTCGAGAGTTCCTCGTTTGCGCGATTGATCTATGAAGATTGTGTTAGCAGGGTTATGGATTTTATGGAAAGATATTATCAAGGTGGATTTCGTGGCGAAATGTCGAAAAACATACACAATAATCTCGCTCTCATCTTCTCCTCGTGCTCTCCATCCCTTCTTAATGGCTCTACCCGGAACTGTGCCCCCTCCATTTCTCCAACAGCCATTTCCCTATTAACACCACTTCCATGTCCATCTTGAGTGCCACCAGTCATCCTCTCCGTGTTCTCCGGTACACTATCCTTTGGAGTGAAGTTCCCATCCACACTCGTTATGAACTCTGGTGGAACCTTTCCCGCACCTGCACTAGGCACCTCATTTACAATAGTAGAATTGGTGTTCGTCATATGTGGATTTAATGGCTTTTCCATTTGATGTTTGCGATACTCTTCAGTACCATCATGCTCTTTTGCATTACCGGGATTAGCATTTGCAAATCGGAAAGATGTACTGGAAAATGGTCGAGAAGTATTAAGCATTGAGGCACGGAAAGCCCGACGGGCAATGCGTAAAGATGCCATTTTGTTATGAATTGATTCGTAAATATGTTAATCTTGAAGCTCGTGAAGCAATTGGAAAAATCTCAAGCTGGGGAGGATATCGTGCACGGCGTGGGGAAGTAAATATGGACGTCATGGACTTTTGACATGCGGCCGCATCATGTGATATACCGAGGTCAGAGCTTTAGATGCAACTGAGCGACCGACTCTTCCCGACTGGCAATTCCAATTTTGAATTGCGAATTCGTAATGAAGAGAAGAAAACAAGTGCTACAGTCTCGTTCTTACATTAATATTACCAAGTGGAAAATATCGTCGCTGACTCTGGAGTGTGGACCAGCAAATGTTATTTGAGGTCTTATCATTTAAAACCAATTCAACTAGTTGTTCGAAATAAATTTAACATTTCAATTGATTTGAAGGACGTGGAGAAGGAATTAGTCACCACTGCTTTGAGAACACAAGAGCTAGTTTCGAACACAAAATCTTGAGCTTTAGAGTTCGAAGCAGGGAGGAATATTAAGTGGTTTCCCGTGATTGCCCTCAACGCCCTCGCTCTTGCCCTCACAGTATGAAGGAGCCATGTAGTGGCGTTCAAAAGCAAGAAAAGTTTAAATTGCCCATCAAAAAATGCTTAACTGCATACACTATGTTCATTGGTATACAATTATATTCTCTCTTGCCTAGATTTTCTTCCCCGATAATGCTTTGGAGCTCAAATCGATCATACAAGTAGTTTAGAGTCTAGAAACGACGCATTCTAGAATATCGAATATTTGCCCTCAAAAAGGCAGTTCAAACTACAAAATTCATCCCATGAACAAATTTTAAATTTTTGACTTCATTGAATATAGGCGAGATCAACCCACGCAAACTTTTGGACTACGTTTGAGAATTCGTCACTCTTACGGCATTAAAAGCCCAACATTTGGTCGAGATACAAGTATTCTTGTTACTTTGTGGTTGTGGACGATTGGAAACTGCAATTTGAGAGTACCGGCTCGCTTATGACTCCGGACTTTTGACCAAAGCCCTCTTGATTCTATTAATCATACACTTACGATGTGCCTTCCGCCTACATTCACTGCTGTAATTAAAGAAACAGCAGGCGTTCTGTGTCCCGTGGTAATAATGATGGCGATGAGAGGAAGCGACGACTTGTGCTTGATTTTATTACTTCCACAAACAATTGACTGGTGAGGGATTCCATTGATTTTTTATTCCTACATCATTCATAACTATCTTTTATCAATTAAGATCTCGCTGGAACACTCGGTTTCTTTGAACACATATCACAGATCATCAATATACATGTAAGCTTCACATACGTAACATCAACCTCTCTGATATTGAATACTGAACTTCTAGTCATAATCATGTGTCGACTCATCAAACCCATCACATACTACTGTGACGACGACCAAGTATTCCCACCACACATCTACCTCGACCCAAATCCGGAGCAATGGGAAGGATGTTTAAATCATCACAATGTAGACCTTCGCGGAGAAGTATTCTCAGCACCAGAGAGAACATGTTATGATGTACCCGATCAAGCACCACTCGCGAAATCCATTTGTCCCGATTGCTATTCTGAATGGGGAGCTGAGCGTACCGCCATCATAAATGCGCATGTGAAAGCTATTCTCCAACGCATGGATGATCTCTGTGGACTGTTCAACAACCCCAGTAAACTGAAGGCGGCGATGCGTTCTTCGTGTCACTTAGTTTTAGACTTCGCGATGCATTTAGAGATGCCCACGCCGGATGAAAATTATTCCCAGTATCTTTCGCCTCCAAAAGACACCGGGTATAGGAAGGATAAATCCTCCAGTGGTACTAAGTACATTGATCAGCTCCTCCATGTGGATATCCCACAGTGGCGGAAATTGGCGGATATCATAAGAAGTGGGAATAGTGAGGTGAAAGATAAATCGTTGGCGGAGATATTTGGCCAGCTTGCTCGTTGTCAGATTGAGTATTGCGTGCTGCAAATGTTGGGATGATGATGCTCATGGGTAGATACATAAAACTTGAGATAGAGTATGGTTGATGGTGGTGAAATATCGTATGATACTTGAAGTTATTCTTGTTATCCAGCGCTTTGGGTGTTACATTATTCTGGGGTTTTATCACTTGGTTGATGGCTTGAGCTGTTATTGTAATTCAACCTCAGCATTTACATCATGACGTTTGGAATTTCATTCCTAATTCCCGTGATTTGATCTTTGTATTTTCATTCTACTCTGACTCAATACTAAAAAGTCACACGTAGTACATGTGGTGACAGTTCGGGTAGTCGAATCTTTTATATGAGTCTTGTAGCTTGCTCCTAGAAGGATTCATCCCAATGAATCATGTTTCTCTAATGACTGGTGAAGATATTGATTTCCATACCCAATACCCTAAAGCTCCCCTTTCAATTTGCTTTTTTTTGTTCTTCAATACAACCAAACACTTGCTCAGATATTAACACTACACTCTCCAATAATTCGAAGATTGAAATCAAACATAATAAAACACTCCAAGACAAAGCCACTCTCTTGTCAGATCTCAGAGGTAGTTCTTCCCATACAGATAATATGAATCTATATCACAGAGTGGAATCGTCGCCGACTCTGTCTCAAGAAGAAATTACAGCTGCAATTATGTGTAGAGCTGCCAATGTCGCTCGATACTACTGCGATAATCGCGCGGGTAATCACAGACATCAGCCCAATCAATATTGGGACGCATGTGATAAGCATCCGAACCCGGCACTTCGAAACCTACGCTACCTAGAAACACTGCAGGAACCGCCGTGTTCTGGTACTCTTAATTCCCCTTTGCTAGAAGATGTTTGTCCTAATCATCGGCGGAAATGGGGTGATTAGCGAGCCAACAAAATACAGAGCCACATTACCCATCTACTCGCACTGGTATTTGCAGTTAGCAAGGACTGTCCTCTCGCTACGGGCGCCCCGAACGCAAGAGAGAACATTTTCGACAACGTCGAACGATATTCCCAGTATCTCAATGAGAGACCACGGCTAGACCAGAAATATACAGGCTATGGAAACCATCCAAGACATCCGATACGTCCAGACTCTTTGGATCCGCAGAAAGCTGACGTGGTCGGTTACGCATCCGACCTTCAGAATCTGGAAGGAATTTGGATCCCGGAGGACATTAACCTCGAGCGGAGACGAGCCCCTATAAGAATCGATGTGATGAACCGCCTTGTATATCAACTTTTTCGTGCAAAGATTGATTATCAAGAGGCGTGGGTGTGTACGCATCGTCGTTTGCCTGCAGAACTTTAGCTGCATTCCAGCAGCTATATGAAGAGTTAGAGTCAACTCAACGGTAATGACTCAGTGTACAATAGATTAAGCTATTAAAGCTATGCATGGTTTTGGATGGTAGATAGAAAATAAATTTACTCATCCGCAAAATTGTATTCCAATTTCCCATGCACTGTTCTAAAAAGGATTCATCGTAATGAATCATATCTCTGTAATGACTGGTAAAGATATTGCTCTCTACCTAATACTCAGAGAGTTTCCTGTGGATTTGTCTTCTATCCTTCTTCAATACAATCAAATATTTGCTCAGATGTCAATACAAAACTTTTTAACAATATCGAAAATCAAACATAATACAACGATTCAAATCATAGTCAATATCCTGTCAGATCTCAGAGATAGTTCTTCCAGTGCAGGTAATTCTTTTGTTCCATCTAAGAGAACCATCGATGAATAAGCCTCAAGACTTACCTACTTGACTTATAGGAACAATCATGTGCATAACCGCCAACACCATCACATTCCTATGTGATTTCAAATGCTTCACTGCTCCCCAGGAAACACATCTCTATGCCAAGAAACATCAACTCGTCCAGAAATGGAAAGGATGTGACCACAATCTCGATCGGACTCTCCGCGGCAAAAGGTTCTTTGAGAGCGCAACGCAAAAGCCTTGTCATAATCCGGAAAGGGCTCGGACTTTCAAAATTTGCCCTGACTGCAGTACCAAATACGGGTCACTCACCGAACGAATAAATTCCCACGTGAGAATGATTATCCACCTTTTGGAAAAGGCTGGTGGTAATATCGAAATTACTGGGCCCGCTCAGAAAAAAGCAAGCGTGTGTTCCGACGTCAGCGAATGGTGCACTTACCTGGACAATGTCGCTCGCCTTCACACATACGATCAGAAACATCCATCACATCCACCAAATCCGGAGAAGAATCAAGCGAGCGAGGAGGAGTATTACTTTGAGCTTCAAGTATTACTTGGCAATATAACCCAGGAAATGAACATTGAGAAGAGCAAGCCCGGTGGCGGCGATAGAAGAATCATCAGAGAACTTTTTTATCAGCGGGTCAGGGCAGAGATTGAGCAGCATAGAATCTGGATACTTATGAGCAAGAAATACCCATAGCATAGCTATAAACCAGTGGCTCCGGCAATCTAAGTGGTTCGAGCTCGGATGGTCATGGCAACTCAGTGTACAATAACTTAAGCTACAACAGCTACGCATGGTTTTGGATGGCAGGTAGAAAATGAATTCCCTCATTCGCAAAACATCGTTCCACTCGCTATGCACTATTGTGGGATTATGAGGAATATCCATCTGTGACTTAACACACCATATTCCGATGACGCGTGAAAATAGAAACCCCTTACTACTCTTTCCAAGTTTGAAGATTCCGTATACTTTACGAACAATAGTAAGGCAAGTTAAACCCGAGATCTCCCCTCTATCTGCCTTTCTTATCGACAATCGACAAAGAACTCAGTCCTTCGATATCGTTCCCGGTTCATGAATCTTGTAAACGACTCAACATCTCCACGTCTCATTTCCGTCTCCATCTCCATTTCCATTCTTTCCCATGGCCCTTCTAAAACTCTACTTCTCGATGCCTACATTTCCCCTTCTTCTTATTCCGCCTACTAAACGCTCCAAGAACGAATATTAAAAACGACTTCATAGCATCTCATACCCCAACTTTTACATTTCCCATCAAAAAAAAATCCTTCTTCAAACGATTTCCATTCTCTCCATTACAGAAAAGAGAAAAGGCTCATCACACCCACCAAACTATTCATCTATCTTCCTCTCTAATCACTTAAAGAAAGGAGTCAAAGAGAACATAATCTACACAACTCCCGACCGAACACAAAAGATAGACCATATTCAACTCTTTAAACTTAAGCCGAGAACACAAAAGATGAGATTTTGCAAAACTGAATACCTGTTTAATTTTAAGTTCAATACCTACACGTCATCCGTTATTTTACACCTAGCAAAATGTAAGAGACAGAGAGAGGAAAATCAATGTAGGAATTCAAGTTGAAATGTAGAGGATGTGGTGTCTTGGGGAATAATTAGAACACAACTTTTATTACGAGTACTTGTATGGAAGCGTGAAAATATGGTCAAGTAGATGAGATCGGGTAGGAGGTTAGAAAGGAGAGGAATTACTTTATTGACTCTTTGACGGCTTCGATGGAGTTTGAATCTTGAGAATACTTGTCAAACCTGCACGCTGTTTGATGGTCAATGAAATCTCTCCTTGATTGTCCACGCCGCTACTCCTGCAACCTAGTATCCTATCCTCCCCTGGAAGTCTGTTCGAATAAATGCGACAAGTGTAATTCCTAACCACTGCTCCTTCTCCATTCCCACTTTCAACTCCGACACACCACCTGCTATGAGTACATCGAATATCAACATCCAACGCAGGTATGTATGCCTGTTTCTCCATCGCATGTAAGATTTCTTAACGTGAATGCGATGCGTAATGCACATCAGAGTCGAGCCCAATGTTCCATAACCAATGTGTAAACGAGCCTTGCTTTCGTTACCAGATTCATCCCTCTGCACACTCAATCGCGGGTCGAGGCTGATAATTGGCAAAAGTGTAAAATTCGTTCAGACTAGGGTTATCATCATGTATACGGTCTCACCGAGACAAAAGGATACCGAGTACTTTGCTGCAGATGGAACGGTGTAGATGTTCGGAAAGTGTTTGATGAGGGACTTTGGCCATGGATGTCAGGCGTAGAAAAAAGATGCGAGCAAGGGAAGGATTTTGAAAAGTTCCGGTGATGTGTGTGTGATAGATTGACGAAGTTGATATTCCGAGGAAGTGTTGTTGAGTAGAATACTGCAACGAAGATTTGATCAGGATAGCTAAACCTTGGCATATATCTGACTTGCTGAAAGTATTGCACGAGAGTTGCAAAATGAAAACCTGTGAGTAGTTAGCCAGATTCGCGGTTTTCATTAGCCCAGCGAACATACGATCAAGGGAACCTCTTAATAAAGACGCGAAAAGCTGGCATCAATGTCTTCCGACGGCTGGTACATTCTGATATGCTTTTATTGCAAACTGAAGCTATCTGAAAGATAGTAATTAGACAACCACCAAAGAATGCCAAATTAATTCACCCCGCAGCTACACAACCATGCATACGAGGATAAACCTTTTAACGTCGCTGCTCAGGACTGGCCTTGAATATGTATCTAAAGGATTCAAGTGAGTTTCACAAGAAACTCCATGACAATATTTGAGGCGAACCGTTTTAGATCATGTTCAGGATGAGAAAATAATTGGTTCCACGAACCGCGTCGACACAAGTAAATTTATGACGATAATGGGGAAGGCCCTCCGAGGCCTCCATCCGCCCCAGATGCAATGAAGCCAGTCGAGAGCAGGGGTTAGGACAGAGGTTTATCTCGAAAGGTGAGGCATCAAAAGTAATCATCCATCAACACCAAACGATAAGATCGAATGCGGTAGATGAGATGAACTTCTGAAGTCGGCATGGATTGTTTGTAGGTTTCAGTTGCTTGTCGCTTTGCTTTGCCAGAGTTGAATGCTCTGCAGCCGGTTGATCCCAAGAAGGATGTTGAACATTGGGGCCAAATGATACCGATATCACCGGCCCCGCGCAGCGATATAGTATTGTACCACTCTGTGAAAAGAATATGACAAGTTTCTGTGAATAATCATGTTAGATTCCATCCACAGATAAAGCTCCAAAGCACAAATAACACAATTCCTTTCGCTATCTCGAGATCACTCCGATCTTGAGATGGGAAATAGTATGAAGACTGTAGCTCAATAACTTCCATAAAGATACCGATCTACATGCTATGAAAAGCACTATAGATATAGATATCTTGATTCGATGTCACGGGCCAAAGAAACATGCAATATAGACTACCAAGTGGAAAAGGAGAATGGGAAGAGGTTTGGGAATGGAAAACTCACAATACCTGTTGTGTCGAAGAAAGAAAGGAATCACGACCACGCTGACCGTCGTGCATATGAGATGTAGAAAGAAAGATCGCCAGTATCGAGAGACTTGGTTTCATGCTTTTTTGATATATAGCTCAGCTCGTAGCTCAGCACAGGTGAGCTTCGATGTTAGTCACGTGATACAGAACTGAATTTACTTTTTTCACTTTTTGAACCTTTTTATAATTGAAAATACGATGCATAGACTATTGGAATAAGACCATGCATTCTTTATTGCTTCAGAGTCTTAAAATCGAGTATGAATGGAGATACCTACTTATTTCCAATTACAATTATCCAAATCACGAGTGTGATTTTGGTCTTCTTATGCTTTGAAACTTATTGTCCTCCCATGCACCAACAAGCGGCACGATTTCCTCTTGATGAAATTTGACAGGATCAATCAGTGGTTACAAGGTGAACCAGAATTTCAAGAAATGAGCAATTGGCCAGATCACTTGCAAACCAGCACTATCCCATCACACTCTCTCCAACTCATCGGAATGATCAATGTCAACAATGACAACACTGTCAATAATTTCCTGACGTCAATTGCTCTTCCATGTGTTTTTTATATATATCAGACGATCTTTAAGGACAAGGGAATCCAAAGACCCAGGTCCTAGAAATCTCGTGGTTTCTCCTCATAAATTCTCCTCGCTCCTTGCTTATAATTTTACCATCTTGGAAAAACAACGGGGAAATCAAATGAAAATTATACACGATTTTTGTCACTGGTAGGGATGGTGTTTGGTTAATTTCCGATTTATTGACGAATCATATTGTGGATTTTCGGATCTTATAATTCATGAAAATCGCTGGAATGGAAGGTCTCAAGGAAGACATGGAAGATATGGAAGAAGGTATGGATTGACGAATCAAGTTTCATTTCTAAATGAGATATTTTGAATTGGAATTGAATGTTGTGAAGTTGCAAAAAAACAAATGTTGTGTGCGAATGTTTTTTTGTGAGGGGTCATTCAAGGGGTTAGGGGGATTGTGATGAACCCGTTAAACCTGCAGTTTTGAAGATGCAAGTTTGGTGATACAGCACAGTAACGGCAATCATCAAATCCGGAGGAGTTTGACCGAATTTGGATTGTGCGAAGATGCATTAGGAAGGAGAGATCCAAGTCATGTTACAATCCGGAAAGGGCCTTGGAAAGTGGAAGAGAAGGATTGAGCGTCGATAGAAACGTCTTGATACATTCTCTGCCAAAGGATGAAGGCTCGTGAATCGTGAATTGCCATGAATTATTTTAGTTTAACGAACTGCACTGGTGGGGTGGGCGCAATACGATTGAGGCTTGAGGAAAAAACAATCATTTGACCGACGCCGTCACGATGCAGCCGTTTATTAATATGCTGAGATTTCTTACATACATAAAGACACAGCCACCAATGAAACGGTCATTTTCGTACTTTGTACATTCGTATTTTCGACGATGTCATCACTTCTGATTCGTGGGGATATCACGATTGACAATGCATGCTTTTAGAGAGACAACTAATTTTTGTACTTCTGAAAGCCTTTTTTTTGTCACCTAGGCGCAGTTGCAGGCGATATTATACAAGAATAGACCCTGAAGTTGGGGGAGATGATTTGGTAGACGGGAATTTTTGAATCCTAGCTTGGAGACTATCGATGTTAGTCTTTTAAGATACCGTCTGATCGACATCGTATCTCATTTCCATGAGAAATACCAAGAGACATGGCGAACAAGGCGAATAAGGCAATTGCAAGTTTGCAACATGATAATAAAAGATGCAAAATTGTTAAACTAGAAATATAGACTTTTAGGGAAATTTTAGACTTCAGGAGTATATTTAGAGTTATTATAGAAATAGTCACGAGTGATGATAGTATTAGGAAAACATCAACTCAAATGTCAAAAATGTTCCGAATCATGATGATAAGATGGTCATCGATGAAATCATAAAGTTGATATGAAGATATATAGTTCTGCAAAAGGGTATTTACATTAACGACCTAGGTGGGTAGTGACAATTTAGAGCAGGAACAAACTCATTCCTGCCGACCTAGGACCTACCCGTAAAACTTTTAATACTCACAGATACCGCACAAGCTTCCTCTCTCCCGATTCCAACCTTGTTCCGAGGTTTATCTCGACCA